GGTCGATCTCTTTCTGACAGACTTAGGGAGCACAAAAATAGTGTTAGGCTTGCCGACACTAACAATGCTCTTTTCTGTCACGTCAGAGATCATAGCCATCCTATTGACTGGTCTTCTGCTAAAACTGTCTTCCCTACTTCCAACTCGAACAGTCACCGTCTAGTTGAATCCTCTCTAATACACAACTTTCCTTGTATGAACCTTAGCCCTGGCTTCGTCTCTGTAGATGCCTTCCTCTCCCACTACATTGTAAAATGCTCCAAACTTCAGAACACCCGTGACTTAACCTGAATCCTCATTTTTTCTTTCTTTTTCTTCTTCATCCTCTTCCCCTTTCCTCTTTCCTTTGCTCCTCTGGGTTGTCTTTTTCTCTCTCATGTCTCGTGTTTCTGTTCCTTCTTCATTTATTTCACCACTTCCCTTTCACGGACCTCTGTGCGCTTGCTCTCCCTCTGTGGGCATCTAGCTCTCTTGCAGTGCTCCCCTTCCTTTGTATTTGACTGGCTTGTCCTTTTTATTTCCCACTTCTACCACTACCACTACCACTACTACTACCTCTTCTTCTTCTACTACTACTACAACTACTGATGAAATTAAGACACATGTGCGGCGTCTGGTTGTCTTTGTTGTGGACGTTTCGCCATCCAGTGGCTGGCTGGATGGCGAAACGTCTATGATGGGGATGCCCGGGTGTTGTGCATGTGTCTTAATTTCATCTTGTCGGTATTATAAACAACTCTTGTACTACTGCTACTACTACTACTACCACCACCTCTTCCTGCCTATATATAGCCATCCTGCTCCACCTCTGGTTAGTGTGACTTTGTCAATGGTCCAAGTCGGACCGAAACGTCGTCGTAAGCTTCTCTCTTTTATGTGCGGGTTATTTGTGTATTATATTCATTTATAATGGCACAAAACATACTCAACCCCTGCCAGTTTGGATTCAGGAAAAATAAAAGCACTAATGATGCAATTGTAAAAATGCTATACCTGCTTTACACAACATTGGAAAATAAAGAATATCCGCTAGGAATTTTTATTGACCTAAGAAAAGCTTTTGACACAGGTCACGGCATCCTACTCCACAAACTTGACCATTATGGTATAAGAGGCCATGCGCTTGCATATTTCAAATCCTACCTTACTAATAGGTATCAGTATGTCACCATTAAAGACACAGCCTCATCAACACGGCCACTTGATACTGGAGTTCCGCAGGGAAGTGTCCTTGGTCCCCTGCTCTTCCTCATTTACATCAGTGATCTTCCAGACATCCCAACACCTGAAACCCTCTCTCTTTGCTGACGACACGACTTATGACATCTCCCACCCTATTCTTGCCACCCTCAACACCATTGTTAACGAGGAGCTGCTCAAAATATCGACTTGGATGACAGCCAATAAACTTACACAACACTGACAAAACCTACTATATTATGTTTGGTAGCAGAGCAGGTGTTGCGCAGCTTAACATTAAGATCGACAAGACTCTAATTGCCAGACATAATGAGGGCAAATTCCTAGGCCTATACCTCGACAACAACCTGACTTTCATCACCCATACCCACACACAAAAAAATTATCCAAAAGGGTTGGGATCCTCTCCAAGATATGATACTACGTGCCGCAAACTGCCCTTCTCACGCTATACCATTCACTCATTTATCCATACCTCACCTATGCTATTTGTGCTTGGGGATCAACTGCAGCAACACACCTAAAGCCAATAATACCCCAACAAAAAGCCGCAGTAAGAATAATCACTGAATCCCATCCCCGCCCCCCCCCCCCCACTATTCATAGATCTAAACTTACTCCCTGTTCAGAACATCCACACTTACTACTGTGCAATCTGCATCTACAGGACCTTAAATTCCAATATTAACCTTGACCTAAAATGCTTTCTTGATAGTTGTGACAGGACCCACAGGCATTGCACCAGACAAACATCTCTATGACATTCCCCGTGTCCGACTAAACCTTTACAAAAATTCAATGTATGTCAAAGGGCCTAAAATTTGGAACACCCTACCTGAAAGCTCTAGAACTGCAGACACATTCATCACTTTCAAAACTACCGTTAGACAACATTTTATCTCCCTGATACACTCTGACAACTAACTGCATGAAAACCACCTGTTTGCACACTCACTCACTCACCCATTTGACTATAAACACAGAAATACGAATCTTAATCATAAAATAATGAATCCCAACTAGTCATAAGTTTGCCTGTGATACTCCAATATAGAACCTGTGTATTGTGCCAAAACAAAAGCATTCACATTGCTAAACTCACAAACTATAATGTAGTCACTTAGCCTTAATACCAACTCACTCCATAATCTTTAATAATTTAGAGTTAAGAATTAATCTAAGTCTGCCCGAAATGCCTAGCCCATGCTAGGTGTCCTAGTGGCCCCCTCTGTAATTAGTATTTCATAACCTGTAAACCACATAATATCCAAAACCTGTAAACCCCACATTTTAATCTTTATAGAGAAGAAACTTGATTGATTGATTGATTGATTTTATCTTAGAAATTGCTCTGGGAATGTTTAGAATATTACATTTGACTTAACTTGATGCCCACATCCAAAAGCATAACATGAAATAACCAGTGTAGAGGCTTAGAGAAATGAGAGAAATCTCTCCTGTATGTGTTCTGTCAACTCTCCTATAAAGCTTCTCTATATTTTTTTATTTTGTAAATGTGACTGAAAATTTTCCTTCAAAACTGAATAGCTTATGAAAAATTTCCTCAAAAGCTGAAAAGCACATACCTGGAGGAGTATACCTGGAGGGTGTTCTAGGGGTCATTGCCCCCACACCCTTGTCCAGAATTGAATAGAACGTGCAGTGAAGACCTTTCCACAAGCTATTCAGTTTTGGTTGTATATTTTCAGTTACATTTACAAAAAAAATCACTAAATGATCTTTGTAAGTAAGCTGACTGGATGCAGCAACAGCTTAGTTGACCAGGTAAGCACCAGGCTAGCCTGGCCCAAGGCTGGGCTCTGGGAGTAGAAAAACTCTCAGAACTCATCAAAGGCATATCAGAGGAAAGATAAAGGTATGTGGTCATCAGTGTGGCTTCACATCTGGTATAACTGATTTAGTGACAGTGTTGTATGCAGAACCTCAGTACACTAAGATGGGAGCTAAGTTTAGTACTGCACTAGGAGCCAGGACAACTTGTGTGATTGCTTGAATATCAAGGTATATTCATCATCTGTACACAGTAATCATTTTGTGTTTAGGTGTGATTTTAAATAAAATTGTGTTTTAATAGTTTATTTTTATGAAAAGCTGAAGAAATTATTTCCTGAAATGTAAATAAGCCAAATTCGAGACTGCTTCAAAATAGAACTTTGTGACGTAATTATGGACATAAATGTCCCACTTGACAGAAGAAGAATTACATAAAAAATAATTCAGGAAAGACATTTAGTGCCTCCATGTGCCTCTGTTGAAGGATGGGTTCTGTGTGTTCGAGTGACAAAATTTTGAGTGTTCCTGAACCATGCCCTGAAGAAAAGAGCACTACAATTCTCACTAGTGATAGGAATATTGCTAGCCCAACAAGTTCTGAAGTTCCAAGGATGAACTCCATTGAAATAGGTGGACAGTTGATAGATCTTAGACTTCCAGAATGTGGAAGATTAATTGTTGAGGCTTTACTGAGCCTACAAGGTAAATTATTTGCATGTGTTGTATTATCAGCTTTGTAATGCTGCATGTTGAGCTGCACTCACTCTAATTATTTTTAAATGTGATCACCTAATTCATTACTCCTGTGTGGAAGTATAATCAACAGTAACATTTATACTGTATGAGTATGTACAGTATTTTTGGGTTTTTTGAACATATCAACCATCTCCCACCAGGGTAGTGTGACCTGAAGATTTTGATTTGTTTACTTTCCCTGTCCCCCTGCTGCTGGGTCACCTTAATGCAGAGGTGGTGTTTGAGAGGTTTGTCTACAGGAAAAAGGCTTCTCTGGGAGGTGGATCCAACTCAATATTGGGTAGTGTTCTGACTATAAGCCCAGCATCTCTTCTTTTTTCAGCATAGTCTGCTGTTACGTCTATGATTTGGAGAAAAATGTGTGGATATGGTTTGTGGAATATGAATAATAAATTACATTGCAGGAACGAAAGTATGTTTCCCTATTATTCCATCACACAGAATGAGTAATGAAATATTGGTTGAGCTAAGGGACTTCATTATGGTGGCAAGGATATTGTTGAGTATTTCACTGCAGGTTCAGCAGCTGTAGAAGCTTGTAAAATCAAATTCCTGGAAAGCTGAAGTGGGGTGGAATGGGAAGAAAGTGCTTTACCCTAAATGCAATGCTGTACCCTAAAAACTGTAAATGACGGCTAATGGATTTCCAGGGTTTATCACCTTTACTGCCCATGTGCCCAATGAAGCATTTATGCTACTGTGAATGCCTCAGAAGTACTGTACTGGGAATGAATGCTGGAATGAAGAAGAGATATCTGATATGTATGTGGAAGATGCTTGAACACCATGGGCATGTTTGTAATCCTAGACTCTTCAGCCCACTACCAGCAGATTTTGAAAATATTACCGTAAGTGTAGAAGTTTTCACTGCAAATGCCAGATCAAGCTGTCTGTGACGGATGTTGAGGCAGGTGGACTGCCAATAGCAACAACTATATTGAACAAGCAATCATCACAAAAGTCTTCACCTCAGGCTAGGTTGTGAAGGTAGAAAAAAATCTCAGAACCAGTCACAAGTATATATCACAGGCATATAGACCAGCTCATGGGCAGATTTACAGTTAATCCATGGATTTTTTTTTTTTTTTTAGGTTTTTCTAGTTTTTTTAATTTATAATGCTAATGCATCATATCACACATGCATAATGGAATTCCAGCAATGCTGTACCTCTTATGCATGACCTTTGGTGCATGTCACTCAAGTTCGGATATTTTTTTAGACGTGAATTGTGCATGCATTGATGTTTCAGGAGTAGTTGGCCGCAAACCAGGAACTAACATAACCAATCATGTCAACAACACCCACTCTTCTGTTAGCAAGAATTCCAAGACATTGCCAGCAGCCAGTAAGGACAGTGAAGAGCCAGTCACTAAAGGTAGGTTGCATACAGTTTTATATTCAGTATTTAGTGTAATTAATCAATCATTTGTGCTGCATATTCTGTTACTCTTGATCAGGGCTTCTTGGTGAATTGATGTACGTACTGTTATCCCATTTTTTTTAGAGATGCTGAATTTTATATTCTATTTTATCTGGACTAATGTTCATTGAGGACTAACACAAAGTGAGAAGATATGAACAGTTGAAGCTAAGAACTAGCAACCTTTTCAGCTTGTCTAAGGATGATAATGGGATATATAATAAAACTCCCAAATCATTCGTAGTTTAGGTGAAGTTGTGTATTTTGAGACAGCTAGTAAAGACTGGTGATACATTGCAGCTCAAATAATCATTTGAATAAAACTCAGTTCTTTCATATTTAACCCTTTCAGGGTTGACAGGCTGTCTCAGAGACTTGTTCTCAGGGTTGGCCAAATTTAAAAAAAAAAAAAAAAAAATATTTTTTCCTAGGAAAAGATAAAGAATCTTTTCCCAATCATAATGACACCAAAAGTATGAAATTTGATGGAAAACTTACGGAATTATGCTCTCGCGAAGTTAGCGGTCTCGACGATGTTTATGCATCAGCGATTTTGCCCACTTTGAGCCCTATTTTCGGCCAATTCCAGCATACTTGTCGACAAAAATCCTAACTATTTCGCTAGAACTCCATTTTTTCTATCGAACGAGTACAAGAAGCCACCCATTTACTGATTTCAACTGTCCAATACAGTGGTCAGAATTTAGCAATTTTGCCAATTTCACACAAATTTCAAAAGATGCCAATTTCCAAATAGGGTCCAGAATAAACAAGAAAGACATTCCTGGCACTAAAATAACATTCCTTCTGTTCATTAGTCATGTCCCTATGCCCCTCTTACATTCTTTTGCTTTCCACTTTGAATTTTTATTCTCACAAAAAATAGAAGGTTTACCGTTATGCAGACTACTGCATTGGTGTAGAAATGGTATAAATAATATCAGCGCACTTGTGAAAGAATATTAGACTCACCAGTTGACGTGTATTGGACGCATAGCATGATTTGTTTACTTTTGAACTTTGGTAAAAATTGAACATTTCTGCTACTTTGAGCTTAATTTCAAGGTAATTTTCTTTGTAAAACCAGTCAAAATCATCTCAATTTCTGTAATATGTCTTCCATTCTATAAAATGAGACCAGGAAAAGCAGAATAAAATAATAAATACCATATGAAAATACAGTGCAAAGTCGCTGTTTTAATCCAAAAACGCGGTCAAAGCTTTTTTTTTTCTCATTACGCACTGTGTGCTGCAGGATTTTTTTTATACCGCGCACACTGACCACATAGGCCCATTCTTTCATATGTAGACCTACCAGCTTTCTCTCACTAGATTTGAAGGCGCTAGAATTTAGGCGTACTAGTACGTCAAAAACCCTGGCGCGTAAGCCGTACTAGTACGGCCAAAACCCTGAAAGGGTTAATGTATCAGATGGAGTACATAGCATATGTTGGTAATTCTAAGTGTAATGTGTAATTTTGTCAAGAAAATTTAGAACTGAAGATGGAAAATTCACAGGAAACTAAATACATACACTGTTATCCTCACTTTAAAACTACATTAGCAAGAGAGTATGTATAAACAAAGGTTAACCTTCATTCTTTTGTAGGTAAACTTGCGGCAGATTCCATACTTTGCCACCTTTCAAGGGCTGAGTTTAAGTTTAGTTTGTTAGCTTTAATATCTGTTGATTAATTAAGAGTCATTAGGGTCACAAATACACTGCACCAGCTTCAGGAATGCTTAAATTCCTATGATAGAGTATGTGAACCATGCATACACAGAGAGTGAGCACCTTCTCAGTGTATGCATGGTTTATGTACTCTTATCATGGGAATTTAAGCATTCTTGAAGCTGGTGCTGTCGATTTGTGACCCTAATGACTTATTTAATCAACAGATATTAAAGTTAGCAAACTAAACTTCAACTCAGTATTTGAAAGGTATGTGCACTGAGAGTAAGCAGCCTCTCGGTGCACATACTTGGAGGAATATAAATCACTTAGTATAAAAATTGCCAGAGATGGAATTGATTCTGTTGCTATACTATTTAATTTTATAGCTCAATATTACTTTTTCTTCTCCTGCTGATAGTATATGTATATGTTAGTATGTATATGATAGTATGTATATGATAGTATAGTATATGTATAGCTTAATATTATTGCATTTTAGGAGATGTATTTTGGTCATGGTACAGTTATTTTAAGCTCTTACAACATTTTTAAAGGTAGTACATTTGGTAATCACTAGTGACCAGATAATTTCTTGAGTGTAGCAACATCAAAGTATATTTAGTTGAAAATGATTTATTTTAGGCTGAATTGGTATTTAATAGGGTATTAAAGTCCAGTTCATTGTATTGTATAGAAGTACCATAAATAATATATTATTGTGAAAATGCCCAACATCTCACTTAATGCATTTAACAATAATGTATTATGGCTAGATATTAAAAGATACAAAGGATATAGCCTAATTTTTTCCCTAGAATTGACACAAGCTTGGATTGACAGAATCCTTTAAGTACAGTATCATACATAAATAACCCGCACATAGGAGAGTTGAGCTTACAACGACGTTTTGGTCTGACTTCGGTCCAAGTTGGACCGAAATGACGTTGTAAGCTCCTCTTTTCTATGTACAGGTTATTTGTGTATTGTTTGAGTCACATTATTGTGCCCTTTTGTTCTTTAGGTACAGTATTTGTTCACTGGAGAAGGCTTGCTTGCTAGCTGTTGGTAAATGTTTGAGGAAGATGATATACTGTTTGGTAGGTTCCATTTGGGATTAATTGCAAGTATATATGGGTTAAAGTAGTTGATAAATACTTATTTCTTGACTTGAATTGCCAGGGAAACCTAAGAGAGCAGCCTGGGACCTCAAGGGACGTCTTCAGGACATGGAAAATTTAGTTAAGTCCCAAACAGTAGAGAGGGATAATTTCATTGCTACGCTTGCGAATTATAATTTCCGTATTGAAAATCTAGAACTGGAGAAACAGAACCTTAATCAGAACCTGCAGAAGACACAAACACTCTCTCAAGCACACCAGGAGGAAGTTGACAGACTAAAGCATGATCTTAGGTATGTACTTATTGATTTTCAAACATATTTTGGGGGTAGAAATACAGTGGACCCCCGCATATACGATTACCTCCGAATGCGACCAATTATGTAAGTGTATTTATGTAAGTGCGTTTGTACGTGTATGTTTGGGGGTCTGAAATGGACTAATCTACTTCACAATATTTCTTATGGGAACAAATTCGGTCAGTACTGGCACCTGAACATACTTCTGGAGTGAAAAAATATCGTTAACCGGGGGTCCACTGTATTTTGTAGAATAAAATGTTATAAAAATATTGTATGGAAGAACTCTTTAGTATTTATTTTTGCATTTTTTTCAACAAACCAACCGTATCCCACCGAGGCAGGGTGGCCCAAAAAGAAAAATGAAAGTTTCTCTTTTTAAATTTAGTAATTTGTACAGGAGAAAGGGTTACTAGCCCCTTGCTCCCGGCATTTTAGTCGCCTCTTACAACACGCATGGCTTACGGAGGAAGAATTCTGCTCCACTTCCCCATGGAGGTAAGAGGAAATAAACAAGAACAAGAACTAGAAAGAAAATAGAAGAAAACCCAGAGGGGTGTGTATATATATGCTTGTACATGTATGTGTAGTGTGACCTAAGTGTTAGTAGTAGTAGCAAGACGTACCTGAAATCTTGCATGTTTATGAGACAGAAAAAAGACACCAGCAATCCTACCATCATGTAAAACAAATACAAGCTTTCGTTTTACACTCACTTGGCAGGACGGTGGTACCTCCCTGGGCGGTTGCTGTCTACTAACCTACTACCTACATTTTGCACGTTTATTTTGATTAAAGATAAATTTGTTGATTTATTTTGTATATAAAAATTTCAATCTCATGATGGGTTGCTAAGGATTAATTGCTATGCTTTATCATATTGTAGATATTTTGAGACAATAATTTTTTTGTTAATTGTTGTATCTGTGCACCTCTGGTAAGACAGTGATAGTGTGAATGATGGCGAAAGCGTTTCTTTTTTGGGTCATCCTACCTCAGTGAGAAATGGCCAGCGTGTTAAAAAAAAAATTGTGTGATATTGTTTTACCAATACAGTGGTCCCTCGTTGTTCGTAATTAATCCGTTCCTGGAGCCGTTACTATAAACGAAATTTACAATTTACGAATCAATTTTCCCCATAAGAAATAATGTAAATACAATTAATCCGTTCCTGACACCCAGAAGTATTAAAACAAAAATTTTTTTAACATGAAATATACATGTAGTACGTTAACAATACAATGGGAAATGATGAATGAAACATTAACAGCATAACACTTACCTTTATTGGAGATTCTTCTTAGTGTATGGGAGACTGGAGGAGGAGAGAGTGGATTGTTTATAGTTTGGAAGGGGAATCCCCTTCCATCAACACCTCAGGTACCATTTGCTTTTCTGGAGTTGCTTCTCTTCTCTGTTTCTTAATGCCACTAGGACCACCTTGAGAGTCACTGGAGTCCTGTCTCACAAAATAACTGTGGAGAGAGCTCTGTTTCTGGCATCTCTTTAATACTTCCCTAAAATGGCCCAAGACTTTGTCACTGTACATGTTGCCAATTTGGCTTGCAACAACCTTGTTAGGGTGATGTTTCTCCATAAAGCTTTCCATCTTACCCCACATAGTAAAAATCTCTTTAATTTCTGAAGAAGGCACCTTCTTCCATCTCTCTTCCTCCTCTGCAGCAAAATTCTGAGCTGCAATGTGTTGCTCTTCCTGCTGAAGCTCTTGCAGCTCCTCAGTGGTGAGCTCTTCATTGTGGTCTTCCACCAATTCTTAAACATCCTCCAAACTCACATCCAACCCCATGGAACTCCCCAGTGCCACAATTGATTTTACAACAGACATAGGCTCATTAGTGTCAGTCCCAAATTCTTCAAAGTCCCTCTTGTCGACACAATCTGGCCACAATTTTCTCCAGGCAGAGTTCAAAGTCCTGGTAGTCACTCCCTCCCAAGCCATACCTATAAGGGTTATGCAGTGGTGGATGCTGAAGTGTTCTCTCCAAAATTCCCTTAGGGTCGAGTGAGTGTCTGTGGTCACAGTCAAGCACCTGTGAAACATTGCTTTTGTGTAGAGTTTTTTAAAGTTTGCAATAACCTGCTGGTCCATGGGTTGGAGGAGAGGAGTGGTATTCGGGGGCAAGAACTTTACTGTGATGAACCCAAACTCTCGAAATTAGGTCATCCAAGTTTGGAGGATGAGCAGGTGCATTGTCCTTTAAACTAGCAGGCACTTGAGATCCAATTTCTTTTCCAGGAGATACTCCTTCACACTAGGGCCCAAACACTTCATTGACCACTCGAAAAAAAATTTTCCCTCGGGGACCCTGCCTTACTATTAGATTTCCAAAACACACACAATTTACTCTTCATAACATTTTTTCCTAAAACACTCTGGGATTTTCGAATGGTAACACTAGTAATGGCTTCACTTTGAAACCCCCACTAGCATTAGCACAGAACATTAGCGTCAGCCTGTCTTTCATAGGTTGTGTCCTGGCATTGCCTTTTCCTCTTGTGTAATAAAGGTCCTCTTGGCATTTTCTTCCAAAAGAGGCCTGTTTCGTCACAATTGAACACTTGTTAGGTTTCAGCCCTTCAGCCTCTATGTACTCCTGGAATTCAGCACATATTTTTCAGCGCCTTGTGGTCCGAACTGGAAAGCCTCACCATGCTTACCCACTGGGTTGCCAGTACGGTTCTTAAATCTCTCAAACCAGCCTTTGCTGGCCTTAAATTCACTACTTCACCACTATTTGCAGGCAATTTCTTTACCAAATCTTCATGCAACTGCCTAGCCTTTTCACAAATAAACGAAGTCATGGGGAGTATCTCCTGCTAATTGTTTCTCATTTATCCACACCAATAATAATTCTCAACCTCTTCCAGTACTGGTGATCTCATTTTTGTCGCATATTTACCCCCTTTTGCAACAACAGCATCCTTTATTTCATTTTCTTGGCCACTATGGAAACAAAAGGGTTGTGTAGGGTTTTTTTATACATCCTGGACAGTTCGGCCCACACTTGTACCACTTTATATTGTTCAATGATGGTTTTCTTAAATTCAATCGTATTTCTCACCTTCTTTACCACAGGCTTGGCACTAGGAGCTTTCTTTGGAGCCATGGTAGCTTATTTAGTACTTGCAAGCACTAAAATAAATGGAATATTATGAAATATTTCGCTGGGGACCTTCGCTCACTGGTAAACAATGCCAGACTGGCTGCCGCCCTGGCTCACGCCGTGGGTACGCGTCCCAGACGAACTACGACTCACGAGTCGACCTATGAAAAGCGAGTCCATGTTTATACGAAAATACCCCTATGATTGGCGAATTTTACGATTGCCGGGAACTACGAAAAGCGGGGGACCACTGTATTTGGGTCATGCCACTTTGTTGGGAAAAAGCTGCTTATTTTAAGAAATATTTGTTAGCCAATAGTCAGGTGTTGTTATATGGCATTTCCATTTTGTAAATATTGAAATGGTGGTGAAAAAGTCAATTGCAGAGAGGAACATTTCACCATTTGTCGGCGTTGCACTACAGTGGAACCTCGTTTTTTGTATGCCCTAGTTTTGTATGTAAAACTATAGTTATTCTCTATAAAATGTATTTTTTGTTAATATTTTTGGGTGTCTGGAACAGATTAATTGGATTTACATTATTTCTCATGGGAAATATTGCTTCAGTTTTTGTTCGATTTGGTTTATTGTCAGACTTCTTCGAATGGATTAATCACAAAAACCGAGGTTCCGCTGTAATTGTTTCCATTAAAAAAATTGGTGTATGCAAATGAGAAATCTTAATTGTATACTTTTCTACTGGAATGCAGTTGTGTCAAAATGGTTGTTCTAGGCTTTCGTTCTACCTCAATATCAGCCCATAACTACTATGAGGAGTGAGGATGTTATGGTTCAGAGGGTCATCTCAACTCTGATGTCAACACACTTTTGGCAAGACTAATTCAATGAAGATAAGATAAGATAAGAATTTCTGCGGATTTTTAACCCCGGAGGGTTGATGGTGAATGTTTTCCCATTTTTTTTTTTGGGGGGTGGGGGGGTCACCATGCCTCAGTGGGAGACAGCTGGTGTGTTTAAAAAAAAAAATTACTACAAGAAGGTTGTGTTTATGGTTTGGTGATTGATAATCATACTTGGCAAGGAGCTGAAGAGTTGCTAGGTTCAAGTTGAGCTGAGACAGCAGTGTTGATCTTTAAATCAGTTTCAATCTTAAGCTGGAAGTGTTTTAATTATATTACTGCCTGAAGAACTGCACATTGGCTGTCTCCCATCAAGACTAGGTAACTAATAGAAGGAAAATGCATTCACCATTAACCGTTTCAGGGTTGGTGCTGTACTAGTACGTCTTGCGTGCCAGGGTTGGTGTCGCACTAGTACTGTAGGGCCCCGCTTTACGACGTTTTGCCTTACGGCGTTCCGCTAATATGGCGATGTCAAATTAGGACCAAAATTTGCTATACAGCAAGCGGTACTTCAAATACGGTGCGCCCCACTCGGTTTGTTTACACTCTTGGTGACCACATCTATTATGTCGGGAAACTTTCCAAAATTTCAAGTGTTTTAAGGTTACTGTGTGTTTTATATGTACTCTGATAATTATACTTATGTGTACCTATACCTAAATATACTTACACACTGTGCTGGTGTGCAAGTACGCATTAAAATCGCTAAGTCTCTCTCTACTCATGACACCAATACTACGTAATAATAATCACTCTTGGGCACATTAAATGTCTTATTTTATATTAATATAGGCATTTTCATTAATTCATCTATGATATTTTCCTCAAAATTTTATATGAAACCCATTACATAGCATATAAACATGATACATACACTCACAGAATAAAAATTGACCTAAATATGAGATTTGTTTACAAAGCGGCTGTGTAGGTAGTGTCGGAAGAATTACGTTTTCTCTAGTCAAACTTGGGGATAACTGTAGAAAAATATTCTTTTCATATACCT